CAATCTGTTGGATTAGAAGTTCTTCAAGTTCTTGAAGCCCTTTATAAATCTTATGTGGTGAAATCCTTGTCTAAGTATTGTCAAGGCATCTGCCTGACCTTCATCTTTGATATAGTGAAATTCTTCACTGAGTCCAACGACTTTAAGAATGTTTCTAGCAAGAAGTTTCTGAATTTTATAAATATATCAATCAATTACTTTGACATTGTTTTCCCTCTAGACTCTCGGGCATCCTTGTCAGAATATATGATTTCTCTGAGAGGAACTGAACAGTCGCAGAATTTACTCGAGGAAGTTATCTTTCGACATATAAGCACAAAAGATGGACTGACCTATGGACAAATTGGGAGGGCTGTGATGATATTGCTTGGGTCAGGCAGGCACAAAATTGACCTTTATGAGATCATTGTTGAAAGGATCCCCAAAAACTCGTCTTGGAAAGAATTCATTGAGATTCTCAGGGGGAACACGGAGGCTGAGTCAGATTCGCTGATTCAAAAGTTCTATCATGCTTTGCAAGAAACTTATACAGCCAACTGGAGGGTAAAGGACTATATATCACCTAATTGTTACCTGTATCTTATGGAACGCCTTGTTATTTTGGCATCTCACTACTGCAGTTCCTTCTTCACTACAAAATCATCATTTGTGGAATGGTTAGTATATCATCAATCTCGTGGCATCCCAAGTTCTAGTTTAGTCACTGACAAGCAACCCTATTCAAGAAATGTCTTTGATTTTGTTATTAGTGTGGTCCGGCAGTTCCTTTGTAATGGTAGTGATACTACACAATGGATTAGAGATTCTAGTATTAAATCCTACTATCCGGTGCTGGTGTTGAGGTTGTTTGTTTTACTGTGCTTGCTCTGTCTCAACTCCAGAATGTATTCCAATGTACTTTTTGAGCTTCTGAGTCTATCTCACATCAGATCCCAGCTTCCAAGAGAATTCCGTGAAGCTCTTCGAAAGGAAAGGAATGATGATGATGTGAATTTATATGCAGTTGCTAGAGCATTCAAATCAATTGGGGATCCTGTTGTCATTGTCACCTGGGGAGAAAATGAACGGAAATTTTTCTGTACTGATGCCATTATTCTTGACATGAGTTTTTCCCGGAGCAAAAAAGACATCATTGAAGTTTTGTTTCCAAGCAGCACAAAAACTTCTCATGGACAAATCACTTCGGTTGAAGAAAATATGATTAAATCGAGCAGTGAACTTCCTGCTAGCAGTGGCAATCATGGCAAGACTTCTATGTCGCCAAATTTGAATATGGAATCAAAAACAGATCGGAACTTGAGTACAGGGAATGGAAAAGATGGACTGCAGATGAATTGGGGAGTTCTTCGGGAAATATCTGATATATTGAGGTCTATGGAAAATAGAAAAGATGGAAATCTGAAGATCCTTGCAATGGAGAAGAAGGTAATTTTATATTGGTTGTCTTGTGGCAACTTTGAACTTATTCCTGGTCGTTAGAACAATTTTTTCTTTTTCTTCAGGTACAAGTGGAGAAGATTATTAACATCTTAGCCACTGAAATGATCCATATCTCGGATGAGAAATCTCCTGCTGGTGAAGATAATAACACGCTGGGTGAAGCCATCAACGCAATTGAGGAACTGAAGCAGATTTCTTCTTTGATTACAAGGTTAGTCTTTGTGGGACCTATTTGCTAACAATCTGGCAACCGAATGGCAATAACTGGCCTAATCAAGTTTCTAAGGAGAATTGAGGAATCATTTATTGTTCTTGACCTTTTGACTGCTGATAATCCTGAAAACTTTACTGAGCGTGTTATCTCTCTTTCTTGATAATCGGATTGTAATCATGGCTTACTCTTTTAATAATACGATATAACTCTACCCTCTTGAGTATCAAATATAGCCCCTTCTGACATTAGGAGTGCTTTGGCAATCTTGGAAATTAGTCTTATTGCTGTTCCTGTTTTATCAAAAGAAAGTGAAGTGTGAAAAGTCTTATTCTTAAGACAAAAGAATGTTTTGGGGTTACTGCATTTGGAGAATGTCATATTTGTATCTTTTACTTGAATGACATGTTTTTTAAATAATCTCCAGTGACTTGGAAGAGAAAGAGACTTCGACGATTGAAGGACTTTTGAAAAGCTTGGAGTCAAGAATGCCTAAACTCGATATATATCTTAGTCGGTTCATTGTGCAGAATGATACAATAGAAAAAAATCAAAGTGTTGTATCTTGTGATGGGGAAATTTCTAACAGTAATAGTACCGAATACAGCACGAAAAATTTACCCATCACTGTTGCTCCCGAAACACAAGGTAAGCCGGACCAGGTCAGTGAAGGCAAGCAAGGAAAAGGAAAGGGCAAGAATAGAAAGGGAAAGAAATCGAAAGGTCGGAAAAAATAAGCTGGATGGAAGTCTTGTACATTGAGCACTTGCAAACTAGTGGAAATTGTGTAAATATTGCTGTTTTGAAACTGCTAAGATCATCATAGCCTTCATGCTCTGTCACATCTTTTAGGGAGAACTAGTGGGGGGAGAACGTGCGTTGCACGTTAGTTGGATAATGTTAAAAATAAGTGTAACCAAGTAAAGAATGAGACTAAAAAATGTGACCTACAAATTATATATGCAAACTCGACCTACAGATAGAGAAGGCAGAACTTCCAAATAAAGAATGAGCCTAAAAAAATCAAGCAACATATTTAAGCACGCAGATTTACCTGCTCATAAAGAAAGCAGAAGAAAATATTAATCGGAAAAACAAATCCTTAGTGCTGCAAAGTAAATGGGCAAAAGCTAAGGAAAATCATGTCAGTAAAAATATGCATACCTCTCCGAAGCATCTGCCCCTTTGTCATCCAAACAATTGATTTTGCAAGACCTCGCATGACCTGAATAAAAAGAACATAAAATAAGCTAAAATTTATAAATTTCCCATATATCATCAGATTGTAACAGTAATTTATGGAAAACTATCGAAAAGAACAATCAACATTTGCAATGTAAAAAGTGTTGTAGCTCTAAACGAAGTCACAAATCAGTGGAAGACTGACATCACGTGCTGTAAGGAATGATTAATAACACCCCTCGAGCATTGGGCACAACATTGCATCATAGAACCCATTTCAACAATGAGCCATGTTGACAACCGGTTTTCTCATACAAAGTCATCAAACCCGTATGTAATTAACTACCTTAATATTGATAATAGCACGACAGTTGAAAAAGGAATATCGAAATTCATCATAAGATAGCAATATACCGTAATACTCCATGATGAAATTTTTGAAAAGAAAATTCGAAACTTAATACAATGTAATAATTAAAAATTTTAAGAAGCAATATTTGTATCATTTTGCAAACTTTCCATGGATAAAAGAAAGACGAAAGTGTGTGAAATATAAGTATCACCTATATATTGGACTTCACTATGTAGTCGTTATCAATATCAAACGAGGATAGAGTGTGAAGCTAGCTAAACAAATAGCATATGAAACACACCATAGAACAACCTTCAGGTTAGATATATATAACAGACGTAACGTGCCAACAACAAAAAATATCTTCTACTTGTACTTCATTGCAGAGTGTTGAATATTATTTTAACTATTTTAATATAGTGAGAAGTTCTTTAATTAACAGTTGATGCTTTATTCATGAATAATCGCTCACACCAACCAATAAAGTAAAGAATCCACCTTATGTAAATGAATGTAGATATTTTCACTATGCGATTTGCTCTAGATTTATCCTACATTTGAGGTTAAAAAAAAGCAAAAAACAAATGCATTTATCCATCTCCAAGAGGAAATGAGAACATTCAAATACATCCTAGTAGCCTACATCACCCTACAACAATTTGAAGTTATCCTAGTCTCAACGCACTAAATAATTTGTGCATATAAATGATAGAATATGAATACAAAGAAGAAGAAGAACTTAGATTTTCATAGACAAAGTGATAAAACTAGTTGAAGCCATACATACACAAAACCATACTTCCAACTATAACTTTCTACCTACTACCACTAACTTTGTTGGACAGCATATCTAGTACTATATTGGACCATACTTTGCTAGACTTTAAACATATAACATAAATCTAGAGAGAAGAACAACAAAACATAGACTTGTGACAACAAAAGTATCAATTTCAAATGTCAATACTCCTCTTTGAGACTTTTGTTGGAAACACCAAGGTATCTTTTCAATGTTTCAATTCTTCCTTTGGACAAGGACTTAGTAAAAATATCAGCATATTGGTCCTCAGTATTACAGTGCATCAGCTCCACTTCTTTCCTATCTTGAGCTTCTCTTATCGAATGATACTTGATCTTTATGTGCTTTGTTCTTCCATGAAATACCAGATTCTTCACCATTGCCACTACTGACTGAATATCACAATAAATGGCTGTGGCTTCCTCTTACTTATAGTTAAGATCTTCCAAGATTTTCCTTAACCATGTGCTTTGATTTGTGGCCTCTGAAGCTGTTGTATACTCTGTCTCCGTAGTAGACTAAGCCACAGTTTTCTGCTTCATAAAATTCTAGCACACAATACTTGATCCAACATAAAACACATAACCAGAGGTGCTTTTCATGTCATCAACTGAACCAGCCCAATCACTATCTGTAAGCCCAGTTAGAAGCAACCTTTCTGATCTCTTGAACCAAATTNACTGAACCAGCCCAATCACTATCTGTAAACCCAGTTAGAAGCAACCTTTCTGATCTCTTGAACCAAATTCCCAGCTCCTCAATACTTTTTCCATATCTCAACAATCTCTTTGCTGCCTGGAAATGAAGTTCACTTGGTTCTTGTCTAAATTTGGATAGAACGTTAGCTGCAAATGTGATATCAGGTCTAGTGGAGGTCAAGTATAGCAGGCATCCAACTATACTTCTATACACCTTCTCATCGATTTTCTTGGCTTCAAGTTCAGAACTAGAGGAGTACTTACTGGCTTGCAATTCTCCATATTGAACTTCTTTAACATCTCTCTAATGTATTTCCTTTAGCAAACAAATATACCACTTTGAGTTTGGAATATTTCTATGCCAAGAAAATAATGCACTTTCTCCAAGTATGTCATCTCAAACACCATTTTCAGTTCATCTTTCACCTTCTTAATCATTGTATAGCTGCTACCAGTAATCAAGAGATCATCAACATACAATGAGATGATGATCATCTCTTTTCCCTCCTGCTTTATGTACAAGGTCTGTTCATTCATACTTCTCAAGAAGCCAAGAAAGCACAAGTGTTCATCAATCCTGCTGTCCATACAAAGCCTTCTTTAGCAAATATATTTTCTTCTCATTTTCTGCAACTTGGAAACCTTCAGGCTGTTCAATGAAAATTTCTTCCTCCAAGTGTCCATTCAGGAATGCCGACTTAACATCCAATTGGTATCTCTTCCGGCCTCTGTGTACTGCTATAGCAAACAACAATATGATGGTTTCATACCTAGCTACTGGAGCAAATATATTAGTGAAATCTATGCTATATTGTTGGGCATAACCTTTCACTACCAGCCTGGCTTTGAGCTTATTTACAGAACCATCTGGATTCAGCTTTGTTTTGTATACCCATTTCACTCCAATTATGTGTTTATCTTTTCGTCTGTCAACCAGTAACCAAGTCCCATTCTTTTCAATCATTTTTAACTCCTCCTTCGTTGTAGCCATCCAACCTTTTGAGTCTGCCGCTTCAGCAAAATTTGAAGGCTCCAAAGTAGCTGAATTACATCTGGCATAGATATCTGCAAGTGGCCGTGTTCTCAGTACAGCATTCTCAGAATCTGAATCACTATCTGATACCACTTCTTCTTCATTAACATCATCATCATTTATCTGAAGAATTTCTATCTGAGGAATTGTTTTTGGAATCTGAAGTTGATTGTCTGCAGTTGATTTCCAATTCCATGAAGACTCCTCATCAACTTTGATATCCCTGTTGGATATCACCTTCTTGCTTTGAGGATTGTACACTCTATATCCTTTGGCATTGTTACAATAGCCAACTAGAACTCATATCTCTACCTTTTAACTCAATTTGTCTCTCTTTACATCAGGGATGTGTGTGAAAGAAATACTGCCAAACACTTTCAAATGAGAGACATTTGGTTTTTCTTCATACCAAGCTTCAAAAGGAGTCTTCTTGTCGAAGGATTTTGTAGGCAATCCGTTGAGCAAATAAACTGTTGTATTCACTGTCTCTGCCCAAAATTCCTTTGGAACTTTCTTCTCAAATATCAGACATCTTGCCATCTCCATAACTGTTATGTTCTTCCTTTCACAAACACCATTTTGCTGGGGAGAATAAGGGACTATTAGCTGATGTTTTATCCCCATGTCTTCACAAAATTTATCAACTACCTACAGCAATACTCTGTTCCATTGTTTGATCTGATGACCTTTATTTTGCAGTCACTCTCATTTTCCACCAAATTTTTAAACTTCTGAAACACACTGGGTACCTCAGATTTCATTTTCAAGAAGTACACCCAACACATTCTTGACATGTCATCTATGAAGAGGATAAAATACTTGCTGCCATTCAATGTTGGTATTCTCATTGGTCCACAGACGTCTGAGTGTTACAGTTCAAACTTTTTGTTGCCATCTTTGCTTGATTTTTAGGAAATGACAATTTGGTTTGCTTTCCAAATTGACATACATCACACATACGATCATCACTACTGATTTCAGGCATGTTTTCAACAAGTTCCAATTCATGCATATTTTTGAGTGATGTATAATTAGCATGTCCAAATCGTTTATGCCATAAAGAGGATTCAGTTACAGTGCCTGCAAGTGCCTGATCATTTATATTTTTCCATTCTAAAGGAAAGCTTCTATACCTCATTTCAACAGTCATCACTTCCTGATTTTGTGGATCAAATATGGTGCATCCTTTATTTTAAAAAATTAGTGTGTAGTCTTTCTCAATTAATTGACCAACACTAATTAAATTTTAATCAATGTTAGGCACATAAAGAACATCAGAATTGTACTTAGTACCTGATGAGGTATGCACTGAAATTTCACCAACTCCTTTTACTTCCACAAACTCTCAATTTCCAACTTTAACTTTTGATCTGTATGCTTCATTTAACTTAACAAAGATACTGGGGTTGGAGGTCATATGATGAGTGCATCTACTATCCAACAACCAGGCTTCAACATTGCTGCAGGCTTTGAGATTCATTGCTGTGAACAAATGTTCTTCCTGCTGAGGTTCCTGCTTCTCCTTCTGGTTTTTACAACCTATTCAATGTGTCCAATTGCTTGCAAGCCCTGCATTGTCCTCCTGGCCTGATCTAACACCATCTAGGTGTGTGTCCTTTCCTCTTGCAGTGTGGACATGGTGGATACTTTCCTCCTTTACCAGCACTTTTGTT